TTTCTTCCAACTTCGCGCATGCACACCAAATACCAAAAAGTTTTCTTTGGGTTACTGCTAATTACCATAAGAGTACATGCAAATTTTAAGTGACTATAATTTTTCAAAAATCGCATGAATTGATTTAAAATTTTACAGATAGCTCTTTAATAGTAATAAGAATCTATAATAACAAATTCAACATGCTAGCATCGTTTAAATATTGATGTGCCATAAATCGTTTTGAGTAGCTACCAGCTACATAGTGCACAACGCGCCTGTGCGAAGATGTCGTACTTAGTACATACAAGGAAATTCATTACATCGTAATTTACTAAAACATTTTATACCATTTAACTTTTCCCAATTACGTGCGTTTGTACAACCATTAAAGTGACAATGGTTATCTCCTGCGTTGAAAATTGATCCGCAGATAAGAACAGAACAATGGTAGACTATCGCACTCCGATTGACGCTATCTACCTTATGTATCGTCGCCTAAAGCAACAAATACGATGTCCGCACAGGCTCGACTTCGTACAGACATAAAGATAAGTTAGTCAACCACGAATTATTAATCAATGTTCACCTATGAGACGAGTAATATAAACTGGAAGCTAGCGGAAGAATTTCGGACCCGGACGAGGATCAAACATGCCGAGGTTACAATTTACTGAATTCGCATGTGGGTGCAATTAAACTGCAGAATTTTTAAGAATATAAGGTAACAATCATCATTATATCTTATCGATAAGAATAACACAAATCTTATAACTGTTAGGTTTGGAAAAAGCGATTTTCAAAAACTGGTGAAAAATTACCCAATTTGTTATTGCTAAATTAATAATTGAATATTGGATACTTAATTAATTAAAATTATACTTCCAGGCAAGAACATAGCACGCTGTCTTTAATTTCTCGTGTTACGATTATGTTACCGTGGAAACTATGTCTAGTATGGAAAATGTATCTTCTATGAATAACATAAGTTGACTTCAGTTCAATGAATTCTCTTATTTAGGAGAGAAATACATAATCTGGAGTAGGCGAAATGATAGCACACTGGAAATATGTTTATATATTCTTCAACGTTTGAGGATCTTGCATGGAGTTAGTGTTCAATTTGTGTTTAGAGCTTTGTTATATATTCTCATAATGGATCGTGGCAAAAAACTTAGGTCGTCGATATTTAGTCTTAAGATAGTTTTAAGAATTTGCTATCCCTGTCTTGTACAGGGAACGGGGACGATTTTAAGAATAAGCAACGACTCTGAATACCGGCTTTAGTGAAAGTGGAATTAGCACAATTTTAGTTTTGAGATAACAAAAGTTTTCTACTACGCAAATTGCAAAAGAAGTTAGTTATAGTTTGAAAGTCTGGAACACCCTGAATATAATTTGTTGGAAGATCCAAGTGCATGGAAAGAAGAAAAATACAGGAAGGCCAGCAGCATTATTTGAACGAGATATACGAACAACAATACATTCTACTTCCAATTCTTGTGCTACTGCGAGGAAGATTGCTATGAAAGCTGAAGTCGAAGCAAATATACTAAATGTTCGTCGTGTACTTCAGACTAGTTACATTCTAAATTAGTCTAGAATAATAACAAAACTATTGTTAAACGCAAGAAATAAGGAGGCACGTATTGTTATTTGCAAAAGGATATGTACTTTAGAAAAAGATTTGAAGGGAAGTGATTCTTACAACTGAAAAAAGGTTCAACTTTGATTGACCAGATGTACATATTATTATCATGATGTTAGTAAGCAGCCACTAACAAAAATTCGACGTCAAATGCATGGAGGTGGAGTAATTGGTCGATATTGGATACAAAGTGAAGACAGACATTAAGTTTATTCAAGGCACAATGAATAGTGTCCGTTATCTGCAACTAATAAATCAAATTTATACATATGGAGGACGCACTGCTGAAACTCTATTTATATTCCACTAAAATAATACTGCAGTACTGCTAAAACTGTTAAAGAATACTTTTTAAACGAAAATATTTCCACTCTTCAATTGCTCTCATCGAAAATTTGTGGGCAATGCTTTCGCAAGCAGTGGAGACCTACAATTTCCAAATATAAATGAATTAAAAACTCGTAATTCAAATGAATGGGAAAATTTAGCTTAGGCAGAAATTAAAGAACTATATAATTCTTTACTTAAAAGGTTGATAGAAGTCACGTCCACACATTATTAACAAAATATAGTTTGCTGTATTCATTGTTATATGAAATATGTATACTTTTGTTCCATGAATCATATTTATCTTTCAAGTGTGCTGTTTCCCTTTCAACTAAGAGAAGTTATTGAACTAAAGTAAATCTGTTTGCACATTCGCAGGTTTGTTTTACATAGTACACAGAATTTTCACACTAACATAAGCTTAACAAGAGAAATTAAAGATAGCATAGACTATCTCTGCTATCTTCTTGTCTGGAAGTGTATTCTCCATCTCCTCTTCTATATCTCACTGCATACTGACAAGACGTAGTCATAGAATCTGATATACCAATCTAAGATTAATCCAATTTTCTTTTACAGATTTATATCGTACTGACACAAAATGTAATATTTCAAAGATAGTATTCTTGTACGTATTACGTTTAGAATGGGGAAAGTTATACCGATGAGCTGGTTGAACCAGATATTGTTGATTTTAAGTATATCATGCGTGTTGCTGTCCTTAGTTATAGAAAAATGGGCTGGTCTCACTTCATTACCAATATACGTTTCTATTTCCTGGGCAATTTTTATTCTAATCGCATCGATGTGGCTCAGCTGTTACTTATTTCAACTCGCACTGAAAGCAAACAGGCCTCTCGATATAAAATTCCTTAACGATTGGCTGCACCGGAAGTTAATAACAGATCTAAAGTTACAAGATTTGGAAAACGAGATTGAATGTAACGATAAGAACGAGAACGAAGTGCGAGGGGCTCAGGAGAAGAAGAAGAGCTCTGGTCCGAAGGATATTTCCTCGAGACGAAAAAGGGCAAGAGATATATTCAATTTAACACAAGAAATCGATGCGAAGTGTATAAACGTTTGGTATAAATCGATCAGCGAGGATAACGAATTTCCTAACGAGGCGCGAGAGTTGCTGAAGAAGCTGCTTACTAAATTGTTCCAGAGAATCACCGCGATAGACAAAGTGAAACTTACTCATAAGCTGTCCAATGTGTTCTTGTTGCATTTAAAAGAGTATCACAAGTACGATTTCTTTAACGTTTACGAGCTTGAATACGATAAATATTTTAATTAATGTGTTATTACAGAGCACTGCGTCGGGTGGAGAAAGGAACCGCACAGAATTTAGAAGAGGCATTCAAGTATTTGCATCCAGGATCCCGGAACCCGTCGACATTAGAACACATGCTTCACCGAACCGTTACTATCTTGGCACAAGAATTTTTACAATGGGAATTAACGAGTTCATTGCCATGCAAACTGTTACTGTCTATCCTAGCCAAGAGATTATTGATAGTTATCGAAACTGTGAGTTCACCAAATTGGCTGTTTCAAAGTGTGTCAGACTTATTAGAACTCATACCGGAGAAATTTAAAATCGAGAGCACAAACGAAACCGTATCAGATAGTCAGGTGAGTTTAGAGTCAGATTGTAAGACCGTATCACGTTTCTACGTTTATTAATTGTTTAGAGAATCGTGTCCAATGCTTTGGAAGATGGAATGGCGTCAGCTACGGCAGCTGTTATCCCACGACCGCTGCCTAGAGCCAAATCTGAATCATCCAACGGATCTTCAACTGAAAACAGAAACCCTTCGCTGTTATCCGTAAACAATAGGAGGCCCAGCTTGCGTTTAGACAATTTAGCTACGGAGCACAGAGGTCTGTGGGGTCAAAGCCTCGTGGAAATTGACGGTGAAGAGGATAAGATATCTCCTGTATACGAAGAACCCACGGATTTCGCTACGACGATTGCCAGGCTTCGAACTGTGCTTCTGCAAAAGTCGACAGTAAACACGCCCTTGTGAGTATTAATCTAATTTCGATTCATATCGAGTTTTCATGGATTCAGTTTTCAGACAAGTAGAGGAGAAGTCCTGCGTGGTATACGAAGGTAGTCAATTTACAAATCTGACGATTTCTTGGACGGAGTTTCACACGGCTCTCGACGGTTCCCAGCAGTTGCTCTACTGCATACAATTCGACGACGTAGAGCAACGCGGCGTCGACCTGTTCGTGACTACGACCGCTACCGTCAGAAGACAATACCGTGATTTTGCTCAGTTACATGCTAGTCTACAAGAGGTACGAAACCTTCGTCCCTGTCACCGTTTTATTGGGTTGGGGAATAAGTTCGTAGCGTTTTTCACCGAAGAAAGGAAAAGTTTTTTCGGCAAATCCCATTGAATGAAAGTGATTGAGGATCGTTTTATGATCGCAGTTCATTTTTTTCGCCAATTCATGACTGGTTTGGCGACCGTTCTCCTTCAAAAGTGATTTGAGACGTTCTTCATCGAATTCAGAAGGCCTTCCGCTGCGGGACGCGTCATCGACGTTAAAGTCGCCATTTTTTAACTTTGCAAACCATTTCCGTGCTGTAGACTCGCCTATGACACCTTCTCCATACACGTCGCAAATGTCCCGGGCTGCTTCGGCAGCTTTTTGACCTCGATGAAAAGCAAAGAAGAGCAGGTGTCGAAAATGTTGATTTTTGCCTCCTGGGTATTCCATTTCTAAGCCTCAAAACTAATAAAAAATTAAATAACTCAAAAATACAATTAACATAGTTTTGTAGAGCAGAAAGAGTTCTATCGAATGAATACTTACCCGTTGCCAAACAGCAAACAAATCGTTGTAAAATAAAAGAAATTATAAAAACGCTATGAATTTATTCCCCAAACTAATACATTCGCGTAACATGAAATTTTAATAGATTCCAGAGTTAGCGCCGATCATGTCGAACCTCGTTCTACCGGAAGGCGGCCGAGTGGAGTTAGAGAATTATTTAAAAACGTTGACCACGCGTTTGGCGAACGAATGCCCGCCGCAACTGCGACACTTTTTACGACCGAGCAGTAACGCTAATAAAAAAGCCGATGTGGTCGCGCCGCGGTTCGACAAATTCTTAGTAAAAACAGTGAGCGGCGTTTTTAATACCTTAAGAACAGTCGTTCCAGGTTTCGAAGCCGAGGAAGAGGAGCTCGTCCCGTTACCCACGTTAATGCCGCTAGCCGATATACCGTGGAGGTTCGTCGAAGATATAAAATCGGTAATTATTTCGATTCTTATCTAATCGAGACGTGATCCGGTTCTATAAAGATTGATACCGTTAGAAGAGCTTGTCATCGGGACTGAAACAATTAATTGCTGAGAGAACCGAGTATTCCTGCGTGGACAGCGCTTACGAAGCTGTCGACTCCATGGACGGTAGCAACGATTCTGCATTGCTAAATCATTGGCTGGAGATCGTGAAAAGTGCTGATGAAGGTGACTATATCACAGAATTGTTCTTGAAAGAATGCTATTTTTTTCATTTCTTTTGCAGAAGACGTTGACGAGCTGGATTCCCATTTAACGTTAACGTCTGTCACCGTAGATCTCATCTGTGAATTATTGGCAGGAATTAGGAGTAATAATGCCATACAACAAGAAGCTGTCGTCAGGTGGTCGAAACTAGTCTTTGGAAACGTCACCGAATCCATATTACAAGTACGAAACTTATTATTAGTACTCTCGTGCTCCTTTATGCACGTTCATTCGACATCTGCCACGCGTGTTTCCAATGAAATATTCTTCAGGCCACAAGTGCCGCTGCACCAAGCGTACTCACAACAACAATTTCCCGTTTCGTTTATTTGCATATCATGTTTGGTCGTTTGTTTCCATTATTAAATTCCTGAGGTGCTCACTTATTACCTCGCCACTGCACACGATCAGTTTGGAGAAACTTTGCTGTCACCAGAATATGGATAACGCGGCAGTCAATGTGTTAAATCTTAGTTTCGAAGTTTCAATATATGCTTTATAATTCTGTTCAATTTGCAGACTGCAGTCCTACGAATTTTCGACCGTTTGGGCGACACGTCGTTTTATAAGATACGAGAAGAACTCTCCGAGGAGCCGTTTGTAACTGTGAAGGAACGACTGTTACGAGAAATATTCGGTAATGTTCCCAATGACGTGAAAATGGTATTCGGCGATGAGGACACGTTGAACATTCTGAGATACCTACTCGAATCTTGTGAAATAAAGAAATTGAATATAGATTTAAATCTACGGATATTAGATGTTCTAGCATCGCAGCTGTTAATTTCGTGTAGATCGTAGTACGACTGTCTGTGGATCGATTCGATTAATTTTTTATCCGAGACCATGACTCAAATTGTTCAAATGTATTCCGATCGAGAATGTGGCGGTGTACCAAGTCTGTTGATTTCACCATATAGAATTACACGAGACTCTTCGTAAACCATACTGTGTACCTGATTACATGTTTACGATAAGAATGCCAAATATTTTTTCCACCGGTCAACAGCTACTTCTGTAAGTTGGCCACTACGCGCATTTCAATTATACACTTCTATTTAATCCTTAAGTTTTGTACAAAGGTCGATAAAAATCTATCACATCTTGCAAAATGAAACGAAATCTACGATTGCAAAATCTGAATGTAAACAAAAGAACTTAACTGACTAATGTATATATACGAATAATAATATGATGTTTAATTTGTAACTTAATTAGGACTCCTTCCCTTTAGTCAGTCCCTTTTGTTTCTCCAACTGTGCCCTGGAACAGATCATTGATACAGACAATAAAAATCTGAGAATGCATTTCACTTTCATGTAATCTCGACTACCTCAGTTGTTGGTTAAAATCATCCTCAACGTCGTCGTCGTCCCAATTGTCCTCCCAAACGCTGATATCCTCGTTGTCCTCGTCGACCGCGGTCCAATCTACCGAGTCACCGATTACGTAGAGGTTAGGATAAATTCATATCATAATTCTGAGGAATTATACTAAATACCTTCCGCAGGAAATTCCTCGAACTCATCGTCCTCCTCTAACAGTCCCAAATCTACTTTTGATTTATCGGCTTTACTCTCGGACATCATGAAATTTGTTCGTATTTACTTCTCTGAGTGAATCGTTAGTATGTACACAACGTGATTCAGTACATTCGTAACTATCGATAGTTCCGCCATTTTGAAAGAACGAGCAAATTTCAAGATGGCGACAGTGATGAAGTTTCTGATTGGTGTAGAAAGAACCTGCTACTCGTGCAGCGCTCGCCTCATATGAACTGCGCGCATTTAAAATAATAAATGATAAGGTAGAGGAAAGTGATGAATAGATTAGTAAATTAATTATTACTGAATTCTAATAATGTTGTACTGAAGTTCGTGCAGCTACAATGTTATTATTCAATTATTTAAGTGATTCGCGCGATCCAATCATAATCACGATACTTTCTTACGTCAATAAAATTAATATTGTTATTGCAATTAAATATATATAATAATATATGAAACATATACATTTCTAGTGATGGTAGTACTAAATAACTACTTAAATACATATAATACAACCACGAAGTAGTAAAATAAAAATTATACATATGTACAATTGTAAATACTTGTTATAATTTCTATTATGCATTTTTTACCCATTTTCCAAAATAAATAGTAATTTTTTTTAATACCGTATCATATAATTCATAAATCATAAGCTATTTCAGGCAATTTTAGCAGATATGGAATAGATGTGAACATCATATGATTATAGAGAAGCTATTTACAATTATGCGTTGTACAAAAGAATATTATATACAAAAGTTACATGATTTAAAAGAGTAAGAGTGTTAATTTCTTTTATAAGTAGAGGCGTTTCGGAGATTTGAATATCAACTTTGTTCTTTTTAAACAGAATACTATATATATTTTATACCAAAAATAGTAGAGTATCGAATTGTAAAGCCGGTTATTCATCTGAGCACGAATGCGAACGAGGCAAGGCGAGGCCGAACGAGCATACATATGTGGATTGTGGACGTGTAACCGAGGCGCGGCAAACTGCATTCGGCTGTTCGCCGCACAGACTGAGGCATTCGGGACCCGAGCCGATCGGAGTCGGTACTTCAAAGAAAAATTTGGTTACGTATGGACAGCATTCGTGTACGTTCCACCTACCTTGCCTATCTCGCTGGATCATCGTTCACTGCGTTCGTTGTGGATCACTGTCTCGTTCATTGCCTCGGCAGACTTCGTTCGCGAAGAAAAATTTTACAAACGAGGCAAAACGAGACATTTGTTCGGACTCGCCTTGCCTCGTTCGCATTCGTGCTCAGATGAATACCCGTCTTAAGTAAAAAAGTATTAACCGTTGTTAGCCCTAACCTAATAGCTAACGAGTAATTTCATTTTATTACTTGAAAATTTTCTTCACGTAATATCAAGTTGAAGATTCAACCTTATATCACTTTCCGCAGGACAGCAATGTTTACGTGACCTAACCTAGCCTAACGGCAGATATCGGGCAATGTGGAGGCCAATTTGCTGCCAGACTGCCGTCATTCTTTGATGACAGTGCACAGTTGACAATCTGCCGTCAGATTCTGCAGTAGACCTGCCGAAATCCTGCCATTGGCATATTTGACTGAATTGGAGGCAGCCTCATAGAGATAATATAGATAGAATACAAGAAACCATAAGCTCGTCTGTAAGTGGAATTGACGCACTGCTAGAAAGAAAACGAAGACGAAATTTACTATCTCTCTTTGTTTAACAGCAGCAGAGCACATCACATCAGCACATGCTGTATTATTTCGTTGCATTTCGTTGTTAGATTGACATATTTTTTTAGGTTATTAGCAGTTATTACAGATTATTCATTACTAACAATGTCGTGTATTGTTTGCAAGAAGTTATAGGTACCAGGATGTGCTCGCAGTTTTCATAAGTATGATGAATTGCATACGTAATTAAGTCAAAAGAAAAT